TGGCCGTCCCGGGCTCTCTGCGGAGACCCCACGAGAACGCTCCTGACTCCGGTGAGGGCAGTTCTGCAAGCCCCTCTCTTTAGCCAGGCCGTGGGAGCGGGCTCCTACTTGGGCTATGGGGCCCTACACCCGTTGCGCTAAGGCTCCACCTGGCTGCCTGTGCCTGGGGGCTGGCAGGAGAGCCAGTGTGGGTTGGGGCCTGCTTCGGGGAAGTGGTTGTGGAGACACGGTGCCTGGGATGGAGACTGGAGGCTGAATAGATGTGCGTTTTGGGAGCTGCCTCAGAGGCCCCAGGTCCTGTGGTCTGGGATGCAAGAGAGTGGTTGGGTGGCCAGGGTCCTGGTGTCCTGGCCTCTGGTTTCTCTACTGAGGCCGCATCTGGGCTCCCATAGGGGTCCTGGAGCTGCCTGTGGAGCAAACTTGTGCTGGGGACAGATGGGAGGAAAGGAGTTCTCAACCAGGACTCCAGGGAGCAGATCCACCCAGGAGTTATGGAAAGAGAGGGAGGTATTGGAGACTGATGGGTCTTGGGGGACAGAGGTTGTTTGTGAACTGGCTGCTCCCATGATGAGGATCTAAGGGCGTGGGGCAGGATGTATGGAAAGCAAAGATGAGGACAGAAAGGCTCCATAGCAGACCATTTCTGTCACCCTTGCCCCAGCACAAGAGGGGGCAGCCCCTTCACCCACAGCCTCCCCCTAGTTCCCTTCTGGCTTCTCTCCAGATTCAGGGTGGGGCAGACTTTTGGGTGCCATTTCTGATCTGACCCTTGGACCCTGGTTGGTTGGCCCATTCTGTGGCTTGGAAGAAACGCTTGTGGCCTCACTTAGCTTGCTGACAGAGTCCTGTTCCATTAGAAAGGCCTGCAGTATGCTGAGTAGGCAGCAGTGGATAGGAGAGGCAGGGTCCCAGGGAGGAGGGGAACTGTAAAGATGTGGTTGTCCTCATGGACATTGTGTGGAGTCCTGAAATCTAGTAGCACCACACACTTGCAGAGCTCCGAGGGCCATAAGTGCCCAGCCCAAACACCCCTGACATAGGAAGAGATCTTGAGAGAATTCTTTCCATTAAGTAAAAAAGTTCGGGAACATTCTCTAGGAAGTCTCTGGTGTAAGTCCCTTCTTGGCCACACCCTGTCCTGGTTCCCAGGAACCGATAGGGCATGCCTATTGGGTAGAAATAAGGACCAGGGGTAAGGGAGAATCATAAGATTAGAGGTCAATATGAGGCCAAAAGTTAGGAGTCAATCCATGGGCAGAGTTAAGGATCTACTTATGGGTAGGGTAGGGATCATGCTGGGGCCAGAATTTGACACATGCTGTCAGCCAGGAAATGGAGTTACTTTTTGCATAAAATCAAACTGTCCCAGGAAAATATTCCCTAACCCATAGATGTCACTCTTTGAAATTAGTGGGCCCCTGCGATAGGGGTCTGCCTCCCTCATTTTCAGCTGTAAATTCTGTCCAGACCTAACTTTGGGGAACTAGGTTGTCTTGAGCTCCCTGGTCAGCATTGCACTTAAATGTCTTTGGGTGCATTTGCATGGTGGTGGGAGTTTCCAAAGACATGGGGCATGTGTGAGTGTTTTGTAGCTGCTACCTGCTTCTACCTACAACTCTCAGGGAATCAGCAGGAAACTCCTTTAGCACAAATTGATTTGATTCCTACCTCCTTGACAAAAAACTCAGGATGGCTAAATAAAATTCTCAGAAAGACCAGAAACTTCTAAAAAGCCAAAATTCAGAATTTAAATGAAACTATGAAGGAAAGAACACTGCTCATACATGCCTGACTCTCTGCCTTTATCAACACCTTTCATACCTGGATTTATTGATCCTCGGAAGTTCCTTGTGACACCCATTTTATAGGAAAGGACATTGAGGTGCAGAGAGGTGACATGATAGACTCATGCCAGGTGCCATGATATACTCACTTCAGGTACTCAAACTCCTGCCATCCCTGAGAACCCAGGGCAGGGGCACTCCATGTATGACACACTCAAAGAAAGAAGATAACAAGCTTCAGAACAGAGATTATAGGCACATGGTTGGGGCATGAAATTCAGTTTAGAGTGATGGACAACTCAGTGTGTTTTTTCCCAAGTTTTTGGTTGTTTCTATAGACCCAGTAGCATTAATCCATCCATCCACCCATCTATCCATCTAAGAAAGTGGTTCCCACTTAGCACAGAGACTGGTACAAAGAAATTACTAATATGTGTTTGTTGAAGAACCAAACATGATGGTGCATGTCTGTAATCCCAGCAACTCCAGACTAATGCAGAAGAATGGCAAGTTCAAGGCTAGCCTCAGCAACTCAGCAAGACTCTGTCTCAAAATAATAAATAAAAATGGCTGAGAAATGTAACTCAGTAGTAGAAAACCCCAGGGTTTAATCCCTACTACTGCAAACAGTGACAACAAAGAACATACAAATAGGACTGCCAGCTTCTTTATTGCAGCTGGATCCAGTGGAATGCTCGTAAATGTTTTATAGTCAAGTCTCTGGGAGGGAGAAAAATCTGATTTTGTAGTGTTTGCCAATTCCCACAGTGTAAATATTCCCACCACAACTGATTTCAAGCTACTACCATGATGTCAATGAATGCAGAATTGAGAAAAGAGACGCAGTTTCAGCTCTGAAAAGCTTGTGGGACCCAGCTCTAGGATGTCACTCTGTCACTCTGAGCTGGGCTCCTGTCCCTGGTGACCAAGATTCCTATCAACCTCATTTATTGGTTTCTCTTTTCTGGGCATCATCTGGCCACTACTTTGCAAGTGTCCACAGCCAGCCCAGTCCTTCTCCTGATTCAGATTCCTGTGTATCCAACTGTGTACCTCCAGTGACATGGAGGACAGCAAGACTGCATAGTGCTAGCCATGTAGGAGTATCCTTGACATGCAAAAGGGTGTAGAAGTCTGGGTGTCTCTCCACAATTAGGCTGGGTTTGTGTAAACCCTTCATGAACGAGGGTGTGTACATGTGTGTAAGGGCGTGCCAGTGCCAGCTCTGTGTTGGCTTGTGTTCTGTTAGCAAAACTTCCTGATCCTGTTAATGGGTACAGAGAGGGAGTAGGCCCTGGGCAGCCCCCACCTTTGTTAGAGGGAGAACCAGGCTCACAGATAAAGCCAATAGCATCCAAGATCTGCTGTTGAACTGCAGGGACACTTGAGCAGCACTTCTCAAAGTCACCTGGGCATCTCTCCTTAACATACAAGTCCTGATTCAGCAGGTCAGGGATGAGGCCTGAGTTTCTACATTTCTAACAAGCCTCCTGGAGATCCCAGGAAGATGCCCAAGCTGCCATGTTTTGAGTAGCAATGCTGTTGAGAATTTGGAGGGTCGTGCCTATAATCTGGCCCCCAGAACTTCACAGACACAAACTCAAGTTCTTCCCATCTTTTGTTGCTGTTGTTGTTGTTGTTGTTATTGATGGACCTTTTATTTTTCATATGCGGTGCTGAGGATCGAACCCAGTGCCTCACACATGCTAGGCAAGTGCTCTACCACTGAGTCACAACCCCAGCCCAAGTTCTTCCCATCTTAAAAAATAAAGTAAATATTCTTCCTCACCTCCCTCCAGCTACTATGCTGTTCCTGGTCTCAGCCAGCCTTCTAAGGAGGTTTAGCCCAATTACCTTCCACTGTTGGCCATATTTGGACTTACCTGTCATGAACCATTAAGATAGGTGTTTACAGTCTTCTCTAGGGCTACAACTCTTTTATTTTTGTTTTATTTTGTTTTGTTTTACACCAGGGATTGAACACGGGAGGCTTCTACCTCTGAGCTACATCCCTGGCCCTTTTTATTTTATTCGGAGACAGGGTCTTGCTAAATTATCCAAGCTTGCTTGGAACTTAGATCTTCCTGCCTCAACCACCCAAGTAGCTGGAATTACAGACATGTGTCACCGTGCCCAGTGAGTCTCAGGATCTCTTAAAGGCATCTAGCTTCACCCTCTTCTCATCATAGTCTTCATGAAACCACAGAAAGCTTCTCCATATCTCGGGCAGCCCATCTTCCCCTATTCAGACTTTAAGTCACTTCTCCTCTCTTCCCTCTGCTTTCCGCCAGGCCTCCCATGACCATGACTCCCAAACACATGTATCTAACTTGGATTTCTTCCTGACCTCCCGATCACATATCATCTGGCTTGTTGGCATGTTCTCTTAGTTCCAAATTCTGCCCCTTCTCCCTGCCATCCTGCCCCTTCACTACCTAGCTTATCATCTGTCTTAGCTTGAGCCAGGCACTGCCACCTTGACATCCACTGTCTCTTATATGTCTCCACCTGTCTCAAGGCACACAGACACCACCATCTAAAGCCTGGAAGGCTACAAGCCCAGCTAATTTCCTGCTTCCATGGTCTCCTGCAATCCACCTCCCCAAGCAGTCAGAGGGACATCTCAAAATGCAAACTAAATCACGCCTCTTCAAATCTTTCAACCTAAAGGAAGGTCCACAGGGGCCTGCCTGCAAGCCCACCCCTCCCCCATTCACTGTGTTCAGCTGCCACATTCACAGCCCAGTATTGTTTATAATCTCAAAATTACTTATGCTGATTATCGGATTATGATCATCTCCCTCACCAAGCTGTGAATCCCTAGGGATGGAGTCTCTCTAGATCACTGATGTGCCCCCAGCACCTGGCACAGAGGTGGGCACCAGGAAACACTGAGAAGGATCCCAAGCCCTTTAAAGCAAAGCCATTTTGAGACAAATGGGGCCTGTGAGACTGAGCTTTACATGAGATGAAGGAATTGCTGTAAATCTGGTTAGACATGATAATGGTGTTGTAATGGTGTTTTTCAAAATGTCTTTATCTTTTGGAGAGACATGTTGAAGTGTTTATAGGTGAAGCAACATGATGACTGGGATTTGCTTCAAAGGACTCCAGCCAAAAGTAAATAAATACAATAAATAAGCAGTCAGTGAAGGAACAAAAGAACAAGTAAATCCCATTCTGCTTGTCTGTTCCTGTTGACAGCTACAAGTCCCTCAAGGATGCTGGCTGTCCCGGAGATGGGCCTGCCGGGGCTGTACATTGGTAAGACCCCCCACTGCTGGCTCCTCTTCCTTGACCACCACTCCACTCACCCCTGCCTTGAGACCCCTTCACCCGCAGGTTGTCCACATTGTGTGTGTGTATACATATGACCCATCTGGTCACAGAACCCCTCTGTGTATATATGGGTGTGAGTACAGAGAGGGTGTGTGCACACACAGGTATATGCATGTGCAAGTGTTTTGTTCAGATAGTGTGTGCATAGGACTTTGTGTGAGTATGAGTTAGTGTGCGTCTGTCTGTGGGTAGATCTCTGCATGGGACCTGTGGGGGGTAGGGTATAGTCTAAGATGGGCATGTGAATACAGAAGTCTGTGCATGCCTATGTGAGTGGCCTGGTCTGGAGGCAGACTCTGGGCTCTCTGCAGGGGTGGGAGGCCAGCAGGCAGAAGGGACACTCCTCAGGAAATCCATTCACAAAGACCTGGCGGGCTGGGCCCTTCCTTCCTGCCTCCCTTCCCAGGCTCAAAGCACAGCAACTTGGCCTCTCAAGCTGGAGCTGGTGGCAGGGCTAAGCCTATGCTTGGATGCCTGAGAAAGGGGAGCCCTCAGAATGTGAATACCATGTCCCTGCCCCTCTGGCACCCAAAGAGACTACAGCCCTGTTCAGGCATTTCCCAGAATTCCATTTATTCCCAACCCCTCACATGTTCCTGGGTTACCCCAGGCCAATGAAGGCTGGGGCCTCTCTTGGGTCACATAGCAAGGCTGTGGTTGAAGGAACAGGTCCCTCCCCTCGCTCAGCATGCAGCATGACAGACCTGCCTATTTGTCCATGAATCTTCATGCCAGGTCCCTCTTTGCCTCTCTGGACAACCTCCTTTTCCCCACCCATGGATCTCAGGACTGCCCCAGTACCTCCCACATGACCCTTAGCAAAGCTCTGTCTGATGGTGACCAGCTGCCAGCCCATACCTGGGAGTGTTCAGCCAGGCAGGACCTCTTGCCCAGTGAGCTGCCTGATCCTTCAGGCAAAGCCTTGGGCTGCCTCCTGGGGGCTACTCTGTGACCTCTTACCTAAGATCCAGCTCAGTCGTGAGCCTGCAAAGGGGTTTCAGAAAGAAGATAACAAGATCTCCTGCCCCTAAATGCTAGCTGGGGTGTACATTTGTGTATGGGGGTGTGTGTTTAAAGGGTTGGGTGATCTGACTTCCCAGTGCTGTGGACATGCCTAAGCTCAAAGCTGGACTGGAGGGAGATGCTGGCCTCCCCCTTCCTGATCCTCCCTAGGCAGCCAGTTGGGCTGTCTGTGGCCCTGAGGATGGGGGAGGGAGAGCTCCTCAAGTCCTGATTAGAAACAGGTGGCCCAAGTTACGGCAGAGGGGAGCAGTCCCACTTCTGGGCCAGCGGGGCTACCTCCCAGCCACTTAAATCTACTATTCCCCCTCCTTTTGTGATTTCTGTACCCTCCACCCCTACCCCAGTAGCTCGTCTGCCCCACTTCTCCTGCCCTTCTACTTCTGGACTCAGTCTCCCCACCATATGATGCATCTCTGTCTCCTCTCCTCCCTAGCTGGGTGTGCCGGATGGGTGCCGGGGGAGTCAATGAGCCCAGGTGATACATAGATCACCCTCCAGGGAAAGGTTGCCTCTAACTGATAACAGGCCCTTAGCCTCTGCACCCGCCTCAAGACTGTCCTTCCTGATCTTCCCTTCCAGTCCCTCTTCCCCAGTAAAACTGATAGAGAACCTCCTGGTGCCAGACCTGGGATCCCGCTGTCCTGATCATGCCAGAATGACCTGCTCTCTCTTCCCTGCAGGTTCCAGCCCAGAGCGATCACCAGTACCTAGCCCACCTGGCTCCCCAAGGACCCAGGAGAGCTGTGGCATTGCCCCCCTCACACCCTCACAGTCTCCAGTAAGCCCAGATCAGGGTCTGGGGTTATGGGAGGCCTGGGTTGGTGTGGAGGGAGATGGAACCTGGCAGAGCCATGGCAGGGCCTGTGCTGGGAAGAAAGAAGGGGCAGGGGCATACCGCCATGCCTCCTGTCCCTGTACACCCTAGTCACACACCCCCAGGAGGATTAGCCTTGGGTGGCCTTGGGCTACTAAGCAGGTAAGCCCCACATAACTAACTCCCAGCCTTCCCTGCTATAGGATGATACCTAGGGGCCACTGGGCTGGCTGCAGCAGGTGGTGGGGCAGGCCTGTGGTTTTTATAGGTTCTCCCAGCACTAGGGCCTCTCAGAGTTGCTCCACCTCCTGCCAACCACAGTCCCACCTTATTTCAAGACATATCTGGAGGAGAGGAAGTGTGTGTTGTCAAAAAAGTAGTTTGGAAACTACTAGCTTGAAGTTTCCAGGACATAGCCTTCTCACCCCCAGTTCCCTGAGAGTCTTGTCCTGATGATCCAGCCTGGGGACCCTCTTGTTCTCAGAGACCCCAGGCTTGGACTGGGAGAAGGCAGGGACAAGTCTGCATGTGCATGGGGCCTCTCCTCTATGCCACAGAATTGGAAAGAATCTGGTTTGAGTCACTGTGGCCACAAAAAAGAGTAAAGGAATAAAATATGCACAGGTCCATATAAAGCTATAAAACTGCCCAGAGGAGCAAAATTGCTCCCAGCCATTCCGAGACTGGTGTAGGGAGAGAAGATGGTGCGAGATGGGGGTGGACCAAGGCAGTAGCTGGGTGAAGAATTGGAAGTGGCAAAGCAGCTGCTGTCGCCCAAAACCACAGGGCTACCTGAGAAACCTCAGACTTTCTGAGTAGTTGGTAGGCCCAGGTCTTAGCCTGGAGCCAGGGAGGAGAGGGGAGCCCTGGCCAGCAGGTGGGCAGGTGGAGCTGGGCCAGGTCTGCTCTGTACCACAGCTAGCAGAGGGGAGCACTTCCCTGCTGGTTGCTGACTCTGAATCTTGGATTTACAGAAGCCGGAGGCCCGAGCCCCCCAGCAGGCCTCCTTCTCAGTGGTGGTGGCCATTGACTTCGGCACCACATCCAGTGGCTATGCCTTCAGCTTTGCCAGTGACCCTGAGGCCATCCACATGATGAGGTGATGGTGGCTGGGATGGGAGATTGCGGGGAGGGGGATCCCCAAATTCTGGGATGGGCCTGATCCTAGAAATGGTCACTGAGACATGGGGTCATCTCAGAGCCGCTTCCATCCCTAGTATAGGCACGCCGTGGGGACAAAAGGTTGGAAGATGGCCTCACATCTGGGGTCCAGGCCTCAAGTGGAGCACTCTCACCCTCTGCCTAAAATGTGGAACTTTAGTTTTATTTTAAGTTGTTATGTATTTATTTACTTTTTCACTGCTGGTGATGGAGCCTAGGGCCTTCCTTGCACATGCGAGGTGCTCTACAACTGAGCAACATCTCCCAGCTCAGGGGTTTATTTGTGTGTTTTGGGCAGTACTAGATTTTTTTTTTTGAGAGAGAGAGAGAGATTTTTTTAAATATTTATTTTTCAGTTTTCAGTGGACACAACGTCTTTATTTTTATGTTATGTGGTGCTGAGGATCGAACCCAGCGCCCCGCGCATGCCAGGCAAGCGTGTTACCGCTTGAGCCACATCCCCAGCCCTGGGGAATTTATTTTTAATTTAACATTTTTTGTGGAGCTATAACAAACTTGCAATAAAACATACATACCTTTTTATTGGGTTATACACAAACATATATATATATGCATATATGTGTTTTTTTAAAAATATTTTTAGTTGTAGATAGACACAATACCTTTATTTTATTTATTTATCTTCATGTGGTGCTAAGGATCGAACTCAGTTCCTCTTACGTGCAAGGCAAGCGCTCTACCACTGAGCTACAACCCCAGCCCTGCATATATGTGTTTTAAAGATAAAAGTGATCTATAATAAAACTTGCTTTATTTTATTTATGTATTTATTTATTTTTGTGGTACTGGGGATTGAACCCAGGGGTGCTCTGCCATATCCAACCCTTTTAATTTTCTTTTGAGTCAGGGTCTTGCTAAGTTGCTGAGGCTGGCTTTGAACTTGCAATCCTCCTGCCTCAGCCTCCTGAGTCTCTGGGATTATAGGTATGTGCTATGATGCCAGTTCTCTCTTTCTTATAAAGCTGCTGGGATTCAGTCATGGTTTCTTCACCCTAAAAACCTTATTTTAGTCATGCTCTCTTCCCAAAGGCCTCACCTTTAAACACCATAAATGGATCTCCACTCTCCTAGGACCTCACAATGGGGATTACATTTCAACAGATGAAACCTTAGGGGACACTCAAATCATAACCAAGCCATAGCAACTTCCCTCTGTATCTCAAGATCCTGATCCTTTGAATGTATCTTACTAGGGCCACAGCCAGTAGGTGAAGCTACAGAAGACTCCACAACTCTCAACCCAGAAGGGTATGGGAGATACAGGGGAGCTTCCCAAGGACCTGGGAAGGGTGAATGGAGAGACAGAAGCAACTGACCCAAAGATACATGAGACATGAGCTTCCTGTGAACCTGGACTGGTTTTCCCCTATCTCTGCTCCCTCCCCATGATAGGAGGCCACAAAGGCACTTAGAGCCCTCTAGGAGCTATAGGGCATACCAGCTGATCAGCATACACAGCTAAGGCTATACCAGGTTTCATGAACACATGAAAGACACTGTCTCATGAAAGTGATGGTCACAGAAACTGAGGAACATCTTGACCTCCCCAAGCCTTCTCTTCTCACCACCACCAACCACCAAGCCCCATCATTTCTATGTCTCCCTAATATCTCTAGTATACCCATCCACTTCTCTCCATGGCCACCACTCCAGCCTAAGTTTACCCTCCATCCTCTCTCACTTGCACTGCTGCAACATCCTCCTTCCTGGTGTAGCTTCTGCATCTTCTCTTGCCTCCAATCTGTTCTTCATGGAGACCAGCGACCTCCCTTTCCAAAGGTAAATGTAGTCATGTCTGTTCGCTGCCCTACTTAAAATCCACCAAGAGAGAATTCTGGTATGACATTTAAAGTTCTTCATTATCTAGAATTCCTGTAATTTCTTTTTCCCTGCTGCACATTGAGCCAATCTAGAATTGGTTCCCCTGCTCTTCATACCTCTAACCTTTTGCATACTTCTCTGCCTGGATTCCCAGTTCCTTCCCACAAAGGACTGCAATGGCGAAGTTGGCCTGAAGGAGTCAGGATGTCAGAGAAGGAAGAGGAGGGGGAGGAAAGGATTTGCCTGGCAAAAAAGTGGGTAGTTCTGGGTGGAGGTTCAGAAGCCCTTGTAGACAGGGGGTTTCAGAATCTCATTCAGGTTTTTGGGAACTGCCAGAGTTGCAGTCTCCTAAGGTGTGACTGTGGAGGTGGGTCAGATAGAAATGGTCTTGAAAGACTTGGAAGGAGCCTGGCCTTGGAGAATGGCCTTCAAGAGGGCAAGGTCCCTGGCTGGGACCTGGGTTTCTTCCAGGGTCCCAGAGAGAACACATCAGGAAATCAGACCCACCCCAACAGATGGTGGCTTTTTGCTGCTTGTAAGGGATATAAAGAGGAGAGGTCAAAGGGTGTGACTTAATGGAAGAAACAGGAGTCAGATGGGACCAGTGGAACCTATAGGTAGCATTTAAGGAGATTTAATTGTGTGCCATCTGTACTTCCCAAGAACAAATCTTCCCTCATTTCCTCTTCATAAGAACCCTAAGAGGTAGATACCATCATTATTCCCATTTTACAGAAACTGAGGCTTAGAGTTTGTCCTGCCTGAGGTCACACTGCTGGCCCCGGAGCCAGCACCCAACCCCATGAATGGTGGGTTGCCGCTGAACCCACTGATAACCACCCTGTGCCTCCACAGGAAATGGGAGGGTGGGGATCCAGGCGTGGCCCACCAGAAGACCCCTACCTGCCTGCTGCTGACCCCAGAGGGAGCCTTTCACAGTTTTGGCTACACTGCCCGTGATTACTACCACGACCTAGACCCTGAGGAGGCACGGGACTGGCTCTACTTCGAGAAGTTCAAGATGAAGATCCACAGCACCACTGTGAGCCACGTTCTGGCTCTGGGCAGGGCTGGGACCAGGGAGGCGGGGCCAGGAGGGGAAAAGACTGCATAAGTGGAGGGTGGGGCACAACTAAAAGAGATGAGGAAGAGTGGTGGAAGGATGACTAAGGGGCGGGGCTGAAGAGAGTTGGTCCAGGAGGTGGGCGGAGCTCGTAGGTGGTCGGGCGGGGCCAAGGTGAGCTGGGACTGAGGATGAAGAGGAGTTAGAGGGGGAGTGAGGCGAAGGTCAAAGAGGTCATCAGGGAATGGTGACAGAGCTTTGGCCTCTGGCAGAGCCTCTGTGTATCTCTGCCAGGATCTCACCTTGAAGACCCAGCTAGAGGCCGTAAACGGAAAGAAGATGCCAGCCCTGGAGGTGTTCGCCCATGCCCTTCGCTTTTTCAAGGAGCACGCCCTTCAGGTGTGCTGCCGCCCCGTTCCAGACAACTGGGGAAGGGACTCCCAGGCTCTTCTATTCCTTCCTTTCCCTTAATCCCACCCCATCCATCAGATGTGAAGTTATTGCCGGATATTATAGACCATCTTCTCCAGTCCCCTGTCTTTCTATCTGATCAGACAGGTGGAAGAGGGAGATTCTTCCAACTCAACTTGGAAGTCCTTCCTGAGATTTGGTTAGTTCCCCCAGCTCCCATACAGGGCTGAAGATGCTCCCAAGCCAACTGTTCCCCTCTCCACTCCCTATTCCTCCAGGAGCTGAGGGAGCAGTGCCCGTCTCTGCCAGAGAGGGACACTGTGCGCTGGGTGTTGACGGTGCCTGCCATCTGGAAACAGCCGGCCAAGCAGTTCATGCGGGAGGCTGCCTACCTGGTGAGGAATGCAGGCAGAACAGAGAACGATGCTTGGGAAGGCCTGGGGGTTGGCCCCATATCCTCATCTCCTCACCACCCCTGGGATCACAGAGTTACTGTTCAAAGACCTCAACCTTCCCCTAATGGGAATTTTGGAGGGCCATTGCCACCAGGAAAGGAAGGGCCTGAGGAAACAGGAAGTAGAATGACAAGAAGCACAGCTCAGGCCAGTAGAGACAACATCTTTTTTTTTTTTTTAATATGTAATGCTTCACGAATTTGTATGTCACTCTTGCGCAGGGTCCATGCTAATCTTCTCTGTATCAGTCCAATTTTAGTATATGTGCTGCCAAAGTGAGCACCAGACAGCATCTTAAGTCATGTTTCCTAGAAGCAGAGCCCAAAATGGGGAGTCTCATGTTGTTGTCTACTGAAAACAGGCTCTCAGGAGAAAGGGAAGGGAGGAAGCAGGACAGGAGAAAGCTGAACAGGGATGTGATCCTGCAGGAGCCCCGCCTCAGCTTGGTCTCCCAGGGAGCTCCAGAGGGAGAATTATAGCACTGAGTTGGCCACCGTGAGGAAAGGGTCCATGTCCGTCAGTGACATGTTGCTGGGAAAATGGGAGGGACTCCTGTCCAAGGGAGGCTGTTCCCATTCAGTTGAGGACAGCTGTCCATAGAAGTAGCAGTTGTGGGCCAACAGCAGCAGACAGGGAACCACAGACATCCACTTCAGCTGGCATCAGTACTTTCAGGAATACCCCTGCCTCTGCCCCAGCCACTGTAGGTTCTTGAGCAGAGGAGAAAGGACTATGAAACTAGGAAGGGAGGAGATTCTGCCCAATGTATGCCAGTCTTCATACAGAGAGATGTCCAAAGGTCTGGAGAAAGAAGAGGGTGCAGAGGCTCTACTCTCTCCAGGGGGGACACAGAGGGTACCCCCAACCTCACAAAGCAAAACTCATTGCTTGGTCTTGCCCCTGGGGTCTTGGGGGACAGACCCTAGGACACCAAAAAGGAATCTTGCCTATTGGCTCCCTGGGATATCAGTGCCCCCAATACCTCCATACCTGTGGGCCAGGCATGACCCAGGGGCCAGGTTTATAGCTATCTATGCTTCTCACTGGAAGTCAACCCTGAACAAGTGGGCATCTCCCCACAGGGATCAGGACAGAAGCAAAGCTGTCTCCTGAAAGAATACTCCCCACCTTAGTGCCTCCCTGCCCATTTAATCACCCTGCTTCCTCCCATAGTGTTCCCTGCTGCCAGCTCAGGAAGGGCTGGCTCTGGGCAGGAAGTCTCCATCCCCACCTGTATCCTCCTCCCCCCTTCTGATCAGAATTCTGGGGAGCCCCAAAGCCCCTACAAAATCCAGTATTTCCCAAAGGAATCTCCTGTCCTAATGCAGGAAATAACAGATTTCAAGTGTTTTTCTCCCCCCCCGCCCCACACTGGCCTATCTTGGTGCCTGGAATTTCACTGTTTCCTTCCTGCTATATCAGATTCTCTGGGAACAAAGTTCTCCTGGGAGTGGGGCAGCCTGTGGCCAAGTGTCTGACACCAGCCCGGTGAGCCCAAGGGAGCCCCTACCACTTCCTCTGCACCACCACACTCCAAATACTGTGCTAGATAGTCTCTGCCAACACCCCAGCCAGTGCTCAGCTGGTCAGCTACACCTGCAAAGGGGAACCTTGCTACAGTTCTGTCATCTTCCTGCTGGGCCACCCCTGTGTCCCTTTGGCCGTGGCCATGGCCTCCGGCCTGGTCATAAAGTGGCCGTGAGCTCCACATTTATGTAGCATGAAGGGGCCTGAGAGGCCTAGCCTGGGTGGGATGTGACCAGGGAGGAGGTGGGAGCCCCCTGGTGTCATCCTAGATATGACAGCCCATAGCACTGTCTGGTCCTGCCCACTTTCCGTCCAGGCTGGCCTGGTATCTCGAGAGGATGCAGAGCAACTGCTTATTGCCCTGGAGCCTGAGGCTGCCTCTGTCTACTGCAGAAAGCTGCGCCTGCACCAGCTCATGGACCTTAGTGGCCGGACCCCGGGGGGTGGGCGCTTGGGTGAGCGCCGCTCCATTGACTCCAGCTTCCGTCATGGTGAGCTGCCTCAGGGACCTTGCCCAAGACTGGTAAGATGCAGTTGCCCTTGGAGTGTTGAGGTCACTGAGGCCACAGGCTCAGAATGTTCAAGATGAAGCGGAAGGAGCTCTAATCTTGAGGTAGCAGGAACATCCCTGATGAAGTTCAATTGATGGAGAGAAGTGCAGCCCTGCTCTTGGGGCCCCTAGTCTGGGAGGTGGGGGGAATTGAGATTTCACCTTGCCTAGGGGCACATAGTCTGAAGAGGGCAGGACTCATTCAGGCCTGAGACTGAGGTTGGGGGAGGCACAGCCTGCCCTGGGGCAAGCTGCTCAGGTGGGCACTGCCAAAAACAAAGTCTGCCCCCACTCTTGTCTTCAGGAGCTTTCCCTTAAACAGCCACTGCCCACGCCCCAAGCTTCTGCTGCCAGAACCAGGCACTGAGGCCAAGGACAGCTATGGATAACATTGATCATCTTCCCAAATGTCATCTCTCACAATAGGAAGAGGCCCCAAGTTTTGAGCTCCCCTAGGATATCCCCAGATCCCCCGACCCCAGCTCCTCCAAACTCTTCTAAGTATGATTGTGCCTGGTCTGGCCCTTCCTGGATTAAAGAAAGGTCCTGTGTCCAGATATTACACCCCTCCCCAGTTTCGGATACAGTGCCTAGGTTTGGGGGGTCAGCATTGCACTCTCCCACTGGGGGTGGGTGGGAGTTTCAGGAGCACTGGCTGCTCCTGGTCTGGAGGGTCCTGGCTGGGAAGATGAGGGGAGGGGCGTTGGGGTGGTGAACATGGTAGCACAGTCTGATCTCATTCTCCTGCTGTCCACAACCCCTAGCCCGTGAGCAGCTGCGAAGGTCACGCCACAGCCGCACATTTCTGGTGGAGTCAGGAGTGGGAGAGCTGTGGGCAGAAATGCAAGCAGGTGCAATGGAGGGGGATGGAGGGACATCTTTCAGGGAACCATATACTGATGGGAGGAAGGACATACCTAACCTGGCAGTCCCCTCAGTCACCAGCACCTTCCCTCTCACAGCTGTGCCCCTAACTCCCACTTCTTCAGAGTTCTGTGTGGAGGAGTCAGTGGAGTTGCAGAACTTCTGGAACCATTTCTCTCCCATACCCTGTGCCCATATTTGGTGGCCTGAAGTTCAAGTACTTGAAGCTCCTCACATCCCTCCCCACACCCTGGGGTGGCAGGCTTGGGACCTTGGGCAGGGTTGGAGACTGGATAGGCTGGAGGGGATGCAGGACTGAGGGTTCAAGGCAGGCCATGCTGTTTGCCTTTGCCGACTGTCACAGGAGACCGCTATATGGTGGCCGATTGCGGGGGAGGCACTGTGGACCTGACGGTGCACCAACTGGAGCAGCCCCATGGCACCCTCAAGGAGCTCTACAAGGCATCTGGTGAGTAGCCAGGCAGCACCCTTGCTACACAGCGCAGGACCTATAGCCTGCCAATAGTACTTGGTGGCCAGGTGGGCGCTGACACCCCTTCCACTCTCTGGCTCACTGTAGGCGGCCCCTATGGCGCTGTGGGCGTAGACTTGGCCTTCGAGCAGCTGCTTTGTCGCATCTTCGGTGAGGACTTCATTGCGACCTTCAAAAGGCAACGGCCAGCGGCCTGGGTGGATCTCACCATCGCCTTTGAGGCCCGCAAACGCACGGCGGGTCCGCACCGTGCAGGGGCGCTCAACATTTCACTGCCCTTCTCCTTCATTGATTTCTATCGCAAGCAGCGAGGCCACAACGTGGAGACGGCCCTGCGCAGAAGCAGGTAGGTCCAGGGCCCCAGCTCAGGCAGGATTTGCTGTTGAGGAATGGAATGCCACTTCAAGGGACGGTCGTGGGCCCCACAGGACTGTCGCTGTCCGCGTGGACTGTTGCATTACGGAAATGTCGACGGGGCCAGGGGCGAGGGGCGTGAGAACCCAGTGGAGCAGCCCAGGAATCCGCAGCCCAAACTGGTCAAGAGGGAGAATCAAGGGCGGGCGGTGGTGGTGGTGGGCGGGGATCGGATGTGTATCTTCTCCCGCCCACCTCCCACCTCGCAGCCAACCAATGTACCGTTCCTTGGCTTCTCTGCACCTAGGCTAGGGGATGCTCTTGCCTAGGACTGGAGAAGGCTGAAGAGTGGGGTGGGGATTAAAAGCCAACTTCTAGCTGGTTCACCCTTGAACCATAGTCAGCGCCGGGTACATCCCCCCTGGCGGCAAGGGTAGGGAGTGAAGACCACAGATTCCAAACTGTGGCAAGCAGCCTGACCCTGACTCATGGGCCTGTGCCCCCTTTACTGCTTACAGTGTGAACTTCGTGAAGTGGTCCTCTCAGGGGATGCTCCGGATGTCTTGTGAGGCCATGAATGAGCTTTTTCAGCCTACAGTCAATGGTATCATCCAGCACATAGGTGAGTGCCTGGTCTCTGTTCCACCCTCATTAGAGAATAATTCCCCTCACCAGTGCCTGGAAGCCACCACACATCCATACACTGGGATGAGACCCAGAATCATCTGAAACACCTGGAGCATGCAGTGAGGCAGTGATTAAGAACTAGGCGGATGATGTGTAGCTCTAGCAGGTTAAAGAACCTCTGGTACCCTGGCTTCCCCATTTATAAAATGGGGTGATAGTACTGAGTTCCCCCAGATGCTATCACAAGGATTAAATGAACTGAAGTGTCTAGAGAGTGGGTACACGGTCTTGCATAGTATAGGTATTTGATACTGTAAATAGAGGTCCTGGTCCCTTGCCCTCCACGGGGTGGTGGGAAAGAAGGGGGTGAAGATAGAGTGTTGGGGAGGCAAAGCCCATGAGGACTGCCAAGAGCTCTCAGTGAAAGTGCTCAGTGTTTTTATCAGGATGTAGTTCAAATGGCTAGTTTTTTATTGCCTAAAGTGTACAGGTGGGGAGGGGAGGGGAAGCACCAAGTTGGCACGAAGTTGTGGCCTCAGTGGCTCTTTCTCTCCCCTTCCCTTTCCTCTTCCTCATCCATCATCTTGGTTCTGCCCCACAGAGGCGTTGCTGGCGCGGCCAGAGGTACAGGGTGTGAAACTGCTGTTTTTGGTGGGCGGCTTTGCCGAGTCTGCGGTGCTACAGCATGCAGTGCAGGCAGCGCTGGGCGCCCGTGGCCTGCGCGTTGTGGTCCCGCACGACGTGGGCCTCACCATCCTCAAGGGCGCTGTGCTCTTCGGCCAGGCCCCAGGCGTGGTGCGGGTGCGCCGCTCGCCGCTCACCTACGGTGTGGGCGTGCTCAATCGCTTTGTGGATGGGCGCCACCCTCCTGACAAGTTGCTAGTGCGCGACGGTCGCCGCTGGTGCACCGATGTCTTCGAGCGCTTCGTTGCGGCAGAGCAGTCGGTGGCCCTTGGCGAGGAGGTGCGGCGTAGTTATTGTCCAGCGCGCCCTGGCCAACGGCGCGTGCTCATCAATCTGTACTGCTGCGCCGCCGAGGACGCGCGCTTCATCACGGACCCCGGCGTGCGCAAATGCGGCGCGCTCAGCCTCGAGCTCGAGCCGGCCGACGGCGGCCGGGATAGCACCGGCGCAGCCCCAGGCCGCCGCGAGATCCGCGCTGCCATGCAGTTTGGCGACACCGAGATTAAGGTCACTGCTGTGGACGTCAGCACCAATCGTTCCGTGCGCGCCGCCATCGACTTTCTTTCCAACTGAGGGCTACTAGCCCCGCGCTCTTTCGGTCCCTGGGTCTGGAGAGCGGGGTGGGAGCTGAGGAACTGGCCAGTTCCGATGTCAGCGCCCCTTCCCTGCCCTCCATCCTGGAGAGGTGAAGTCTGGAGGGAGGGAGGGGACATATGAAGACTCGCTTTGGGATTGGGCTTTGGTCCGCTGATTGGAAGGCTGAAGGGCCCCGCCAAGAACCAAGAACTTCTGAAAGGTTTGCAAGAGGGAGCCCAGACTGGCAGGGTGTGTGTGATCCCTTAGAGAATGCAACAGAAGACTAAGCCCTGGCCTGAACATGGGTTGGGGGAGAAGCAGCAGCAAGATAGGTTGCCAGGTGCCACTGCAGGAGGGAGGTTGTGCAGGGCCTGGGCCTGAAGGGCCAGAGTTCACTAATTGATGGGCTGCTGCCATAGGGGAGAGCCAGGCAGAGCAACCCCAAACCACAGGAAAATGACAAATGGACATTGGAGGGACAGGTGTTAGTAACACCTTCCTGGATATGCTGACCGCCTAAATATGACTCTTACCCACAGAAAGGGCAGTAGCTGACTAGTGGGGAGGAGGGCACATTATTATAGTGAAGGCAGCTTTGGGGGGTGTGGAGACGACATGCTCTGGAGCCTAAAGACAGCTTGTGAATGATCCACCCCACTTTCATCCCCACCACCTGCTTGGATGGGCAGTTGAGGGAGGGTAAGAAGGACAGAGGGAGCACTGAGGGATGGTCCCAGCTCTGCCACTGACTCCATGTGCCATTAGGACATTCCCGGAGCACCCACAGGCCTGCTTCCCCAAATGTGAAATGTCAGGCATCTCTCTCAATCATGACATGCAACACCCACCCTGCAGCTTACACTAAGATGACAATAAAGCATTTATGCTTAAGGGCAAGCCACAGCCTGCTGGTACCACACAAGTGGGGACCCTAATAGTGGTAGTACTGTAGAAAGCATGAGTTATAGAGAAAGAAGAAAGTTTTCAGCTGTGCACAAGGCAGGGAACCGGCCATAAGGGGGTGCTGCTGTCAGACATCCCAAATACTTCCCCACTCCTGAAGACCTCTCCCTGGCCAGGGCAGATACCCATCCCCAGTTAGCCCCAGGCCTAAAATGCCACCACCTGTGCATAGCTCTTCTGAGGCCAAGGTGCTACAATACCACTGGCTGTTCTTGCCTCCTGAAAGGATGAGTTACCCAAGTCCTTGCCTGGCCCATCTGTGAGGCATTAGACAATCTTGAGACCAGAGAGAACAAAAAACCCATGGCCATGTATCCATTTAAGTCTTTATTTCTTATGGGTTCTAACCCAACCAGTCATTTAAAAACCAAGTAACACAGACCTGAGGGGTAGGATCTGGGAACTGCGCCTCCCTCCTACTCACATAGGTAGCAGTGGGGAAGAGGCAGGGGTGGGAGAGGTGGCTGAGGCATCCAGGCAGCAGCAGCAGTAATGGGGTGTTGGCGTCACAGAGCCACTCAGTCCTCTCCCAGACCCTGACTGGAGCCCACATGGCTTGGGATGGAGAGTGGGTAGAACCCACCCCAGAATCTCCCCTTCCCCTCCTTAGAAAGCCTCCTTGGGGGCTCAACCCATTTCTTCTGGCAGGAGACTGAGGCACACGGAGAGGAGGAAGTGGGAGAATCGAACACAGGAGAGGCAGGGTAGTGGCAGAATGAAGGCAGAGGTGAAAGGTGCGGGCGAGGCCCCAACACCACCCCTTCGCCCACCTGGGGATGGGGTGAGGAAGCCACATCATCACGCAGCATGTTGGGAGACCAGGTGGAGTTTAAGGCTGAGGGGCCCCAAGACAGGTCGGCCGGGTGCGGGCCTCAGTCGAAGCCATGCCAGTCACTGTGCTCAGAGTCGTACTCCAGCTCTGCACCCACACACTTGACACCGTCCAGTAGCATGGGTGTGCCATGGTGTCGGTCTGCAAAGCAGGCATGCAAGCTGGTGTGTCCACTGTGCCCTGGCCCCACCCCAAAGCGTCCTCTCTCCCCTAGAGATCAGGTAGTGGGGGCCACTGGGAGGACCTGGGCTAAAAAGTTGGGACCCCATTGGATAAGGATCCCCGAGGCCAATCTTGCATCTGCTCCCTTCCAGCCAGATCTATGCCTCACACTCACCCATGACACGTGCCTGTACCGTCACCCGCACACAGGCACCAGTGCCACCCTCGCAGGCTAGGAGCATCTCCTCTTTGAGGACGCCCTCCTTGTGTGCAGAGTACTCGCACTTGATGCTGTAACCTGCCCAGAGACAGGGGACAGGTGTGCCATCACCACCTCCCACAGCTTCCCAATCCTGTCCCCAACACTTATGGCTATCACCCATCACATGACATGCTAAGCCTCCCAGAGAATGGGGCAAGAATGGCCCCTTCAGAGCCCAAACACACATCCCTATTGGTAAGATGTGCCTACAGGCCTAGGAAGCTTCCCTTTCTTCAATGAGCTCAATGTGCCTCTGGCCTGCAGGCCATCCCCAGCATGGCTCTCAAGGTGAGGCAGACTCAAACTCAGGCTTCCAAAAGAAGGACCTGTGTATTCAACACAAAGGCAGGCAGTGAGGGGGTGATGGAGAACAAGGGAGGCAGGCAGGGTGGAATGTGAACAGACTGTGGCAAGAGCAAGGCAAATGCCTAAGGCATGTTGCTTGGAGTCCAGTGGAGGACAAGGTCATGAAAAGGTAGAGAAAGGGGGACATGACACTGAAGCTGGGGTCTATGGGCAGCACATGGAGAAACTGACATCCTAGCCTCTTCCAAGCTGAAGGTAGCGGGTGGAGCAGGGCCTGAGGCCAGCAGGGTTGGGAGAAGCAGTGTAAAACCCAGAGCCTGGGACTGGTGGGTGCTAGAAGTTGGCCACACAAAGTTCTGAGGCTCCAGCAGGTTTTTCTCGAGAGCAGGCAGGAGGGAGGGTTGGAGACCCAAAGCCGGTGGTTCCCATCTTGATAACTCCCCCAGTAAGGAAACCATCAGGCAATGGGCAGATGCAGGCCTGCAGTGTGAGTTCATTGGCTTCAGTCGAAGAAGGGAGGCCTGGGACATGCAAACTACCAAGTTATCACTGCAAGCTCTTAAGAGGTATGTGTCACTGACTTGAAGTACCCCATATTCTCACTCTCACTCATATCTGGGACCTACTGAAGGAGGGCAGGCCTCCAGAACCCCAGGAAGGGACCCACCTTCAGGGATGGGCATGACGCTGAGGAGCTTGAGGTGAAGGCTGGGAACAGGTGCCTCCCGGATGTCCTTGCTCAGCCTGCGCACTGGGGGCAGAGTGAAGGTAATCTCATACCTGTGCAGGATCTTCAGGAAGCCAACCTGCAGCAGAAAGGGTGAGAAGACAGGCACCTCCAGTTACTGCTTCCCTAAGAGTCCATCCAGGCCATGCTGCCTATGATCCTTGTGGATCCTGCTTCTCTGGAAGCCTAACTCCTTCCATCACTTTAGCTAGACCCCTAGTCCAGTGGCTTCAGGCCCTCTGGCAGAATCCCTTCCCCTAAAGGCCAGCACAATCCTCATCATCTGTCAAGGACCCCACATTCCTTAGTGGCCTATTTTATAAAGAAGATTGAAGTCAGAAAATGACATTATGTGACCAGGGAAAAGTCTTCCCTAGATCTCTTGGCCACTCTTGCCATATTGGCACATAAGGCACTAGCCACTACTTTGAGCCATATGGAGGCTCCAAGTCCCACAACACAGACCATCCACCTGTCCCCACTACTACCAGCACCTATTCAGAACCAGTAGCCCAGGGTCCTCCAATCCCTAATAAGGAGACACCAGGTAACACAAAACTATGGATGAGGGATAGAATGAAATTAGGTAAGTGGACATCACGGAGTAGGGGTATAGTTCAGTGTTAGTTCATGCCTAGCATGTGTGAGGCTTTGGGTTTGATCCACAGCACCAATTAAAACCCAAAATAAACTCCAGACCAGCTGTGTAAGTCCACAGCTGGCCCACAGACCTGACTTCTGCCTGTCTCACTGGCATCAGATACACCCACCTGCTCACTCAGAGGCCCCTATTCATGGCCCATGGAATTTGTTGTTGTTTAGTACCAAGAATTAAACCCAGGGGTGCTCTACCACTGAAATACATTCCTGGCATTTTATTTTTTATTTTGAGACAGAGTTTCACCAAGTTACTTAGGACCTTGATAAGGTACTGAGGCTGGCTTCCAACTTGCAATCCTCCTGCCTCAGCCTCCTACTTGTATGGAATGACAGGTATGGGCCATCACACCTGCTTGAATATCCATTGTTTATACATAGTGCTTGACAACCAACATTGTCCCTTTGGGACAGATGCCATCCTTGGAAACTCAGTGATGTGAAGAATTACAAGCCAGAGTGGCAGTTGGGCACAGTGGCTGATGGAAGTGCCAGTCCAGTAAACACAGGAGGGATGCAGTACCCCCAGCTCATGTGGGCAGAGAATCCTGGTCACAGTTATACAGGGCAGTTTGGAAATGGTTGTGTGGAGCTTTTAGCCTTTCAATGGGACCAGCCTTACATCACCACATGATAAAGCTCAATCCAGGTGATCCCCTCACACTCTGGTGGTAGTGGGCATACTTCTCAAGAAGCCTTTCTGGCTGTACCTGCTTGCTGTGACTCTGTGATCCAGCTGCACCACTTGCAGAATTTTCCAGGAGAAATGCTCAGAGATATGCAAAACAATAGTCATTGATACCCTATTTATAACAGGAAAAGAAACAACTGTAGCACCTAGGCACAGGGAAGCAGCAAAATCAATGATGATACACATGATGAAACACCAGGCAGGTATAAAATCTCATGGAAGATTATTTCCTGATACAGGCAGGAGCCAGTTCACAAGAAAAGCAAGCAAATATACCCTGTCCACTGTGATGCCAGTTTTTTGGTTTTGGGCTTTTTAAAAAAAAAAACAAAAACAAAGCTTAAAAAAATGAAACCTGGACTGATAGATATCCAAATATTAACCATGGTTATTTCTGGATAATATAACTGTGGCTACTTTTAAATTTCTTTTTATTTTTTGCAGTGCTGGGGAGTGAACCCTGTGTCTCATGCACATTAGACAAGTGCTCTTCTGCTGAGCTATATCCCTAGCCCCTTATATTTTTCTCATAGATATGAATGGATTTTGCAATGAGGGAAGGGAACTGGGTTTTTTTAACTAGGTTGTTTTTTGTTTTTTTTTTTTCCTCATCGTTGTTGATGTTTTTTTGATTTTTAAGCTTTAGTTCATTCCTTTTTTTCCCCAGGGGAAAACTGTCAGCTGTAAGAGAAAGAAGGAAGACATTAGGGTTAGACAGAAATGGATACAAACCTGGGCCCCTTCTGAAAAGAGCAGCCCCTTTTCAGGGCAGTCTCCAGGGAACCAAACCTCTGCCCCCCACCACAGGGCATTTCTGCTCAACTCTGGATCCTGGGCTTATTGACCAACCTGAAGTCCTCAATCTGGCCCCTGCAGAGACTCCCTCCTGCCTTTCCAAGTGAATAGGGGACCTATCAGTCTCCTGGTAGTTAGAGGAGCCATGTGTGAGGTATGGCCATGAGAAAGGGGTACTCTACCAAGTAGAAAATGTGGGGTGAAGCAGGATATGTAGTTCAGTAATACAGTGTATGTTTAGCATGCACAAAGCCCTAGGATCCATCCCCAGGGGCAAAAAGAAAAAAAAAAAAAATGGAGTAATAAATACCATTACAAAGAGCCCAAAACATGGTAAAAAGTCACACTTTGTTATCACCATATATCTGCATCACATACCTACATCTTCCATTCTCACCAACTCTATAAGGTGTGAATTGTCTCCACTGGAGAGAAAACAAATGGAGATGACCTGCCTAAGGTCATAGAGCCAGAATAGCAGGCCTAGACCTGAATCCAGGCTTGTAGCACTACAGCTGCCTTGACACCAGCCTTCCACTGCTACTGGCTGGGTAAGGCCAATGACACCAGCTCTACTCACCTGGTGATGCATTCATCTCATTGACCCCCACCACCACCACCATTTTATAGATGGGAAACCAAGGTTCAAGGAGGGGCAAAGACATGCCTGTGAATGCCACTGAGGAAAGAGGAAAGACAGTCCCAGAAAGCCAGGTAGAGCCAGAGAGGAGATAAAGCTGATTCTGGGAGAAATATGAACATACCTTGACCAGAAAGCTGCTGTCACCCTCCTGGGTGACCATGACCACTGAGTCATGTAGCTTCTCATCAAAGTGGACATGGCTCTGGGAGCCTTCGGCATCATGGCCTGCTGCAAAGCGGATACTCCGGACTCTGGGCTTATTGCCTAAGAAGAGTGGGAGAAGAATTCAGGGGTGGCTACGTTCTCCTACCCCCAGAAAACTATGTCCCCCTTATTCCTTCCCCATCCCCAGACTTCCCTTGACATCACCCAGCACCCCCTTGGCCAGGCCAATTTCAGGACTAAGTCCACTGGCAATCAAGAAGCTTGAGGTTATCTACCTCACTCCTACCTGCCCAGTCGTCCCACAAAAGTCATCCCCACAACATGGTCATGGGACCCCTCAGGACTGGCTGATACGACTCCCCCCTTACTTGGAAGGGAGAAGGCTGGCACCAGAGACAGGAAGACACAGCATTGTAGGGCTTGGCCCAGGTCTCGGCACACCTGGCCCCATACTCTCCTTCACAGTGCCAAGCTCCCCAACCCTGGCATCTTCTCTCGCAGGTCTGTCAGTACATGAGGCCCCAGTCTACTCCCTGTGATGACCTCAGCCAACCTGGGGGCCAGAGATAGAAGGAGGTGCCCTTTTTGGAGGTGGGAGAAATGAAGAGGGTTAAAAAACCATACTCCGTCCACTTAGGAGAGACTGCAGCTGTCATTAATGCTCACTGATCACTGGCAGGTTCAAGAAGAAAGAAGCTGGGGAGCCTTCTCGTCCTCCCCATGCCCTTTCCTCTCTGCTTAGCCCCCATCAAGGCCCTTGGCTGTCCCTGAGCTGGGTCTGGTTCTCCGAGGCCTGAAAGATCAGGGGATTGAGAGGGGAAGAGTGGTGGGGAGCCAAGTGGCTGGTCTGAATGGTCGCTCAGGCTGAGGGACCCCAAGAGCATGAATCCAGTCCTCTCTGACACTTCAGCCCTAGGCCTCCCAAGAAACCTGTCTGGAGTCCTTTTGGTGGGAAGGCCTGGGCCAGCCTTGGTCTGGGTTCTTTGACATTCAGCAAAAGCCCTGGGGGCCAGCCTGGTATATCCACAATCCTTGTTGAACTTCATTAATCTGATTGTAAGATTTTACCAGAACTCCCTTGCCTAAAACTCTCCAATAGCCCTCTGGATTCAGTGAAATCCAGATGGCCTGCTGTGGCCCTGCCCATCTCCCCAGTTTCAGTACTTACAAAAGCCCTGCATGTTGCTGGACCACTAGCAGCACAATAGGTTATCTCACACAAGACATAGGAGCACACACCTCCAGAAAACAGCAAACCAAGGAACTAGCAGGGGCCTCTGCTAGGGCTTGGGTGACCCGCAGGACCAGGCACACACAACTCACATGTTCGGAATTCATACACCATGCATATAAACACACACACACAGCTGAAGCAGGCCCCCCAAGCAAAAATGCCCCATACCCCAGGGCCCATCTAAAAGCTCATGCACACCCACAGGCCAGGAGGACACTCACCCTTGTTGGCTGCAGCCATGGACGCCCTCCCTGCCACCAAGTGAAACACACAGCTCCTGCTGTATACCTCCGCTCCAGCTCAGCAGCCTCCCATGCTCCAGGGACACAAGCAGGAACCTGAAGGATGGGGGATGGAGAGGGCAGGGGTCAGGATCACCCATGAGCCCATGACTGGGAGAGAGCAGAGGGCTTTGCTTAGGAAAGACTCAAACTGCTGCTGCTTTCAGCAGCCCAAATGGGGCCTGCATCCCCTAGCACAGGGGTCTGTCTGCCTGACCCCTTCAGCCACTGACCACAGACATCAAGAGCCCTCACCCCTTCCTGACCCCCTACTGAACCCAGGGTCCTGCCAGCACATGCTAAGTTTCTGGTGCCAAAGTGCCAACATAGGTCAAGTGCCCAACCCACTTGAGACTGGCAGGAAACAGCCTGGAGAGAAAGGGAACTTTATTAATTTTTAGGGGCCAGTTCTGGCATTGCTGACCTTGAAGGGTAGACCCAGGGGATCATACATATTATTCAGGTCACAAACCCAGTGCAGCTGTGTGCTGGTCAGTCAACAGCATGCTTGGAGATAGGAAAGAATAGGGGACCACAAGAGATAACTCTATCCCTAGAGCTTTCCCCCTAGTGGTCAGTCAGAGCCACATACAGAACAGAGGCCCATGGAGAGGATGTTACCCCATCTGAACCCACCATCCAGACCCTGCACTGGCTCAGCTCTCCAAAGGCTGCCTCAGTGCAGAAGCAAGTGTGAGGTGCCCTAAGGATACCTCTGATGGGCTGAGCTGGTCCTATCTAAGCATCAAAAAGAATAAGAAGCACAACTGATGGAAACAGATGGAATACGTAAAATCAGAGCATTCACAGAGATTACAAAAAAAGAAGAACAAGGAAAGCAAAACAAACACAAACCCTCATGTATCACCACTGATGGCAGCAGTGCCCCTTAAAGAGAAATAATTCTACCTGTCCCTCAGCCTTTCTTGTAAGCAAACTGCCCTGGTGGTTAATGGAAAGCTCCTTTTCACTACAGATTCCTTACTAATAAATAACAAAGGAACAACCAAATGTCAAGTAATTCTGCAGCACCTAAAGAAACAAATGCCAGAGGCAACAACAGTGAGAAGATGCTGAACCACCAAGGAAAGGCGGGTGGAAGTAGATACACACAGATGCCCAAGTGCCACCAATGGATGACCTAGTGTTCTTAATGGGGATTAACACAAGTTTGCAATAGGGGGATGTGACATCACAAGGCCACACACGGGTCTGTCCCCCTCACTAACCACAGGACAGATGGCCTTGACACACTGATGCCTCCTGATGTGAGGCAGCCAAAAGTCACAGCACCACTGACAAGGGATCCCTGCCAAAGATGCTTAACCTGGATCTGACAGGGCCTCTAGCCCCAACTCCTCAATTACTAAAAACCAGAGGACAGCAGAACAAATTAAACGATGCCCTGAGCAGACAATGAGACAAACCCAGAAGGCCGAGTATTCCACAGGATGACTGACCTGTTTTTTTCAAGGTGCAAGAAGAAAGAAACAGAAAGATTGTTCTAGATAGGGAATTGGCAAGTTACAGCCTCTTGGGCCACCACCTGTCTTTTGTAAATAAAGTTTTACTGGAATGTAACTGTTCTCATTCATTTACATATTGTTTGTAGCAGCTTTCGAACTAAAACAAAACTACTTCAAGCAGTTGTGACAGAGACCATATGGCCGCAAAGTCTAAAATATTCACCATCTAGCCCTTCATAGAAATGTTTTGCCAACCCCTGTTCTAGATTAACTCACACTTAAGGGACAGAAAAATCTACAGGACAACTGACCTGGTTTTTTCACTGAATCAGCTACAAAAAGAAAAGGACATGGGGGAGGGGGTTTTTAACTCCCTATAAAAAGACATTTGGGGGCTAAGTGGGGAATGTAAGTGAATAGGATAGTAGAAGACACTAAGAAATTAGATGACTTTGTTAGATGAGATATCAGAATTGTACTCCATAAAGAAGTATACGGCTTTATTTTCTCAGAGAAACACACTGAAGTGCTGAGAGATGAGTGACCCATGAATGACCTTGGGTAGTCTAGAGAATGAAGAAAAACCATGGGGTGGCCTCACATCAGGGGCTGGGCCTATTGAGGGCATGACTTTTGAGATCCCTCGGGGGCTAAGCCAGACAAGTCCACCCAGGTCCAAGCTGTGTTTTCACAGCTTGGGTCCCAGGAGTCCCGTGGTAGGAGGCCTAGAGATGCAGGGAAGGGCAAGGTTCAGGCCTGTGGAATGCAAGGTAGGTCAAAGCAGCAACAGCCCCTTCCTTGGAGGCTAACTCCCAGGCTAACTTGCAACGAGGCAAACTATACCCTACTCACCTCTAGCCAGGGCTGCTCTGGAGACAGCTTTCCTCCAAGGAGCCTGGCCCTGAAAAGCAGTCTGTCCCAACCCACCTACTCCAGCCACCCCCGAAGCTATAACTCAGAACATGTGACAAATAGCCAAATGCAAGGGTGCCAGGCCTCCTTCCTTCCTAAAAGAGGCTGCTCCAACCATGCTTCTATAGCCATAAAGTAGTGACAGCCCAATATCCACAAGCCTCCCCTACCCCGCCCCCCAAGTACCCTGCTAAAACTCTTAACCAATGGCTCATGAGAAGCTCCTAGAGGCCCTCTTCACAAAACACACAGACCCAGTATATGCAGGGCCCCTCCCTGTCTTCCCCTACCCCACTGCCTGGTCCCCACCTCCTTTTGCAGGACCCACCCTTTTCACTTCTGGGATCATAAGTTATCTATCTTCTCCACCTTAAAAGGGCAGTGACTGTGGTTTTGTCCTGAGCCCCCAGCACAGCACCTGACAGGGAGCTGCTGACTTCAGTTCATATTTGTTGAATGAATGAATGACATCTCTAAGGGGAGCCCAAGTATAGGCCTTGGCTGGACCCTCTAAGCAGACATGGTGTGGTCAGGGACAGCAACTCTCAGTATCTCCCTTCTCAACTCTCAGAGCAAACCTCTACCCTGAGGGCATCACTCCCCTGGACTTCCTCTGGCCTTGCCACAGTGGGCTGGTTACCTGCCCATGCCTACCTTGAAATGGAAAGACTGCTCAGGGCAGGACCCACATCTTCAGTGCCAGAACTCATGACAGTCACTGGGCAACTGCCTGTAACCCTCCGTGAGAATACAGAACAGGGAGGCAAGTGACTTCAGGGGCCCAAAGAAGGTTGGAAAAGCCAAACCATCTTTCACAACAGAGAACCTGCCAGCAGCTGTCCTTGAAGCTAGACTCTTATCCACACCATTTCCTCATTAGAATCAGGAAATGAGGGCAACAGACCTCCCCTGATGCAGCCATGTTCACAGAGAAGTGCTAGGCCACCTTGCAACCCCTAGGGTGGCCCTGCCTCCAGTCTCCTCCTGTGCCAATTCCTCACTATGGTCTAAGACACACAGTCTCCTAGAGACAGCAGTCCAGGTTTAAATTGAGGTTCTGCCCTTTCTGGCTGCATGGGATATTCCTATCACTTCTCTAATAGGCAGGAATAAGGAGTGGCCTCTTCCTCCCAGGGTATGGTACAGCTGTGCCTAAGATCTGTGAAAATGCACCCACCCTGGACCTCTGTAAAACCCCAAAGGCCTGGTTTCTAAAGCAATAGCAATTTCACTAGGGAAAAAAAAAAAAAAAAAAAAGCACTTGGAGGAGAGGCACTTCAGGTCAATCCTGGAGGAGCCAGGAGTGGCCCTTCAAGAGGACCCCAGGGAATTCAGCTTCTCGGAAAACAGCTCAAGGGTTAAGGGGACCTCCCCCCTCCCTTCTTCTATTCCCAGGGCAGTCAGGCCCCCAGGGAAGGATGGAAAGAAAGCGGCTGAAAGCCCCCTATCCACCCCTCACCAAAAATCACAGGAGCTCAGAAAGATGTGAACAATGTGTATCTTTGCCCTCCTTCCATGGCAAAACAAATGACCCAGCCTCTGCCTTGGGTGCTGTCAGCAAGTCAGGGGTAAGACTCTGGACAGTCACAGGATGGGAAGGGCTGAAAAGATGGGACAAGGCCTTTGGGGCTTCTTTGGCTTTCAGTTGTTCTCAGGCAAACAGGGGAAACTTCCATTGGGGGACAGAGAGGTGCTAGCCCAGATCCCTCTTGGTTTTGGAAAGAAAGGCTATTTTAAGGCTACTAGGGACTAGCAAGTAACCAGACAGCTGGACAGTTACTCAGGAACCCAGTTCTGCCCCACAGAGTGCTGGCTGTCACTTCAAGGTGTCCCATGCAATGGCCCAAGCTTCAAACTGGAGAAAGGGCCAAAGACCAGTCTATTGGTAGCAAAGTAGAACTCCTGAACCCAGCACCCTTTTGTCCCCAATACATGCAACCTCCCTGCCCCAGAAGCAGCCCCCAAACTCCCAGGTATCACAGGGCCAGCTCCAACTAGATCTTTGCTGTGTGGCTAGGGGTATGTCCCCAATCTCTCAGGACCTTGTTTCTCAATAACTCTTCAATCCCTAATCTCAACCTGGTCCAAGGTCTTTCTCTGTGCCAGGCGAGACAAACAACCTTCCACTCTTACTACCATTTCCTCCACTACACCCATCCTGGGGCTCAGTACTGGTTGAAGCACTCAGGGTAGCCTCCCATTAAAGCTCAAGTCTGTAAACTGAACACACAATAAGGCCTTGAAATTGGGCAACAATGAATGAATGCCAACTTCCTAGAACGTGACCCAGGACTGAGCACATAACAGGGCCACATACTTACATTACAGCAAGGCAATGCTGGAGGAAGCCATCAGCTCGGCCTTGACCTAACTTCATTTCCTCCTCCCTCCAGAAGGCCAAAGATGTGAGGGTTAAGTAAGGATTTTTTGTTTGTTTGTTTTCTCTCACAGTGAAGCAGGAGTTGAATTTGGGAAGGGACTCCCACCCTCCTCCCACCCTCCTTCCTGTTTCCCAGACAAGTGCTCCCCTCCCCTGCCCAGCTTTCTCTCTCCTCATTCCCCCTGCCCTCAGCTAGAGGGTGCTGAGACTCCTCTAGTCTACAGACTGCCTGACCCACCCTGACCTGGCCCTAGAGACCTAAAAGACCCAAGAAGCAGAGACCAGTCTGCATTCAGGGGATGACAGATACTTCTGACCTTTCTCAGCTCCCTAGAGTAGAATAATGTCCTATCCCCACTTCCCAAGGCCAAGACTCAACAGGAAAGACAGGCTGAGAAGCCCTTTTCAGTCTGACAGGGTCCTGGGAACGTTGATCCAAAATCTAAATCAAATCACTCTAGCTACATGATATCAGGGAGGCCAAACTAAGTCTCCAAGGTGCTAGGGGACCAAGTGTGGGACTCTTGTTTCCTTTCTTATCGCCATCCCTGTGGGTGTGGCACCCTCAGCCCCACACCATTCTCATCTTCTTGGGAAACAAATGCAGCTGAACGTACCCCATCATATCCTTCCCGAGCATCAAGGCAGCGGTTGTGACCAAGATAATCGCCTGTGCTCCTTGCCCTCACCTCGGCTGACGCAGGAGTCTCCGGAGTCCGCACTCCCAGACATTACCGCCTCTTGCCCGAGGGTTCAGAGCACCGAAGGCACAGACAGGCTACCCGCCCAAGGTCAAACTACGAGATGGTAGCGACAGCGAGGACGCGGCAGAAAGCGATGCTAACCTCCCCCCCTCATTACGCCCCCGCCCTCACTGTGTCACTCGTGCCCCGCGACAGCGCCCCGCGGAAAACATTCCTGCTCCACCAGCTAACGGTCACCCGCAACCCGAAGACCTAACATCTCCCCACTCAGGTATTGGGAAGTCCTCCAGGCCCGGCCCCGTCAGCGGAGTCCCCCTGCCCCACCCCTCCTATCACCCCGAGCGGGGTCCAGGCACCAACTGTCTAGGTCAGGGACCCTGCCGGGAGCGGAACCTCGGCAAGATGGGCGGACCCCGGAGGCTGTGAGAGGAGGAACAGTCTCACCTTGCAAGCGCACCTCTGGGATGAGCCAGGCAGGGACAACCGCGGTGGTGGCTGCGGTGGCGACAGCAGCAGGCGGTGGCGACAGCAGCAGGCGGCGGCTGCAGCCGGGCCACAACGCTGAGCACGAGGAAGAGAGCCCCGCGCCACTGCCGCCCGCCTGACGGCACGCCCCCGCCTCCGCCCATTGGCTGGCTGGGGGGTGGGGCGAGGGCCGCTTCAGACCAATGAACTAGCTTCAGGGAACCGCCAAAGAGCGATTAGCCACCAGCGTCACGTGAAGGGGGCGCTGCGCCTGCGCCCTGTGATAAAGCGGTTGCCCCAGGACCCGGCGAGTTCTCGCGATGAAGACTGCCAGGCTGCCAAGCCGCCGGTCGTAGCCGGGAACTAGAAAGCGACCCGAGGGAGAGAGGGTAGGAGGGGCGCCTCAGAGACTCCGCCTTTGTCCCACGTCCCTGCGTGGGGGTTTGTACTTCCCACTTTGGCCTCGACTTGGGCGGGGCTTCCCCTGGGCTTTGCTCCCTCTGGTGACCGTAAGGCGGGGCTGCCTGCTAGGTGGAGCGCCCAAAGGCGGCCTTTCTCCCTCCAAGTTTCCACGTCCTCACCATCAGCCGTTACGACCCACGCTAGTGCTCTCTAGTAGCTAAGCAGCCGTCTGTCCGGCTCTGCGACCCCCAGGCTTCTGCTTTTCCCTTTCTACCCCATCCCCTGCCTCGGAGGAAGCGCGCCCGAGCTGACTGGAGACGCGTCCCGAGAGCCCGGCCCAGCCTAGATAAGCTTCAGAACAAAGGCACGCGGCATGGGGGGTTGGGAGATTTTGCGGGCGCCCCCGGGGACCGCAGCCTCTGCTCCCGGTCTCCATGGAGGCGGTCGCCATAGCAGCGGGATGCGCCTCGCTTAGCCTGGCGGGGGTAGCGTGTGGGCGACTCCACAGCGCTGGGGAACCGGAGGCGTGGCCCCCGGGTCCTCAGAGGTTCTAGCCGTATCTCTGAACTCCCTATTCCCATTTCCGCTGACGTGAATAAGTTCCCTAAAGTACCAGTGAATGAACCATCTAAAGCACGCAGCCTTTTCCTTCCAAAGTAACTAGGGGAGAGGGCTTTAACAACTGAGGGCCAGCTTCCTTTCTGAAGGGCTAAGGTCGCTGCCTTTGAAGAATCTTAAAGAAGCCACTTCCCGCTGGATCCCTGTGGCCCCTAACTTTCCTGGTCTCTGATCCGTACACTTTTGAAAAATAATCTTTCTGAACTACTGTTTCCATCGAGTCCTCCCATTCCTCTAAAATGCTGCGTCCTCCGGGACTGTCCCCAGCTGAGCTTCAAACTTCAGCATTTTGGGTGATTTCGTGCGTGAGCTTTCTGGCCTTTGAGAACACAGTCTTCCAGCGCAGACTTTGGGAGTTTTCCACATTGTGATCTCAGCTCATCCATTCCTTCCCACTCGCTACCAATTCCCACCCTTCCTTCCCAATATCTACCCCCCACCCATCCCTGCAATGTATTCTTTTTTTTTTTTTTTCAACTTGGCAGACAGTGGGCCCAGAGTAGTCTGCAGATGTATTTTGTTTAACCTACATGAGGCTTTAAAAATAATTCTTCCTCCCCTCCCCCTTCCTCCTTCCCTTTCTTGCAAAAGAATCTGATTTCCAGACTTCTTTTTGAAATAATAATATGGAGTTATTACAGCCTGGCACCAAGTTCTGATGCTGAGTGGTAGTTACCACTTTAGGACACATCAATTTACCATAAATCCTATCAATCTCTATTTCTCATGTTTATTTTAACTCCTGGGTCTGTGCCGACATTTGATTTCATGAATCCTTCCCCTCCTATGGTACTCTCCCACCTGAAAAGTCATATCTAGTATAGACTCTCCCAAACACAGACTAGCTGCTCCCTACTGCCTGGGGCCATTTCCTAATTGTCAACTCCTTTCAACAAATATTTACTGAATGTATGATGGGCAAGTTACTGTGCCAGCTTCTGTGAAATGGAAGGTATCCCCAGCTTAGTGGGGAGGGACACCACATAAAAACAACTGTGGTCTCCTTTTCCTGCCAAACAATCCTCATACTTCCAGACCCTGAACTGTCTGGATAACTTGGAGGATCTACAATACAGATTTGCCCATGCTGGAGATACTACATGCTCCTGGGGAAGGCCATACAGTTCCAGAAAGTCTTCAGAAGAAAGCAAAACTTTTGGTGCCAGAAGGAAGTTAGGGTAGAAGTTACATGGCTGCACCATCTCTGCCCAATGAGCCTGTGTACCAAAAGAGGCCCTGCCAACAGAGTGGTATCCAGGTCTGAGGGCTTCCTGTGCATAGAGTCTTAACTGAGCTAAATGACTCTGAAAAGGAAAGCCACAGGCCCCTACCAGGCTCCCTGGAGATGGAGACAGTATGGGAAGGAACTAGGAGCAACTCCAGGTTAGAAGAACAGATGAAGAACATGGAAAACACCCACTCCAGCTCCAAATAGTAATTCTGGATTATGGGAGGGGGGAATCAAACCCAGGGCCTCACACATGCTAGACAAGTACTCTATCACTGTTCACTGTTATGGTTTAGATATTAGGTATCCTCCAAAAGCTCATGTGTGAGACAATGCAAGAGAATTTAGAGATTAAATGGTTGGAACATGTGAGGTTTAACCTAATCAGTTAATTAATCCCCTGATAGGATTAACTTGGGGGTGACTGTAGGCAGATAGGTTGTGGCTGAAGGAGGTGGGCCCCTGGGGATGTGCCTTTGTAATTTTATCTCTGCTTCCTGGTGCCATGTTCCCAGCTGCTTTCCTTTGCCACACACTTCCATCAAGGTGTTCTGCCTCATCCCAAGCTCTGAGGAATTGAATAAATCATCTATGGACTAAGACCTCTGAAACTGTGAGCATCAAATAAATTTTCCTCCTCTAAAATTGTTCTTGTCAGGTCTTTTGGTCACAGAACAAAAAAGCTGACTAAAACAATCACTAAGCTTTATACCCAGCCTGACTCTTATTATTTTTAATAAAAAACTGTGTCCTCTTTTGAAAGCTACTTGGCAGATTCTAATAAAATTGATATATGCCCACTTTTACACAGTAATTCCTCTCAATTATATACCAGAATACATGTATATGGTTGCATTTATAATAGCCCCAGACTAGAAATAACCAAATATATATCAATAATAAAATGAATAGATAAATTGCACTATATTTGTACAATGATATATTACCTATCAGTGACAACATCATACTGAATACGTGCAACAACAGGGATAATTCTCACAATATTGAACAAAAGAACAAAAAATAATATAATGGGGCTGGGGATATAGCTCAAGCGGTAGCGTGCTTGCCTGGCATGCGCGGGGCACTGGGTTTGATCCTCAGCACCACATAAAAATAAAATAAAGATGTTGTGTCCACCGAAAGCTAGAAAATAAATATTTTTTTAAAAAGTTAAAAAAAATAATAATGTATAGCCTAGTACATGTCTTTTAGTGAATGTATGTGTGCATTTCTCTTGCGTATTTATCTAGAAATGGAATTGCTGGGACATAACTGTGTTGTTTTATAATATGTCAATTTAGCTAGAGTAAACTGTTTCAAAAATTCTCTTTAATATATGTTTCCAATTAAGGTGGGCCATGTGGGCCATGACAGACATTTTTGCATGAGATTTGAAGAATGAAAGGAAAGCAGCAACAATACCGAATTTGAGGGGCTGGGGATGTGGCTCAAGCGGTAACCCGCTCGCCAGGCATGCGCGGGGTGCTGGGTTCGATCCTCAGCACCACATAAAAATAAAATAATAAAGATGTTGTGTCCACCAAAAACTGAAAAATTTTTTATTAAAAAAGAATACCGAATTTGACATTTGCAAGCTCCAGGCTGGAGCTTTGTAGCCCACACACATTGTTGCTGATCTGCAGCTTACCTCATTGACATGGGATAGCAGTTAGGCCTGCAACTTACACCTTCCCTGGGTCCTCTTTCACTTCTCTGACTCCTGGGCCAGCTGCTTCTGCAGTTTATTCACATCCAGATTAGAGGCAGTGAGAACTGACATGAGTTCCAGTTTGTCCTCAAGCCTTCCAGCTTATGCTCGTGGATTCCAGTGTGTTCTTTCTGTCCCCTGCCTTATATTCATCTTCCCATCGGCCTTCTTGTAGACTTTAAGCTCCAGAATTAGGTGCAAAAACAAAAGTGTTACAGAGATTGGAGACTCTTTAAACAACTTCCACAATTATCTAGTCAAATCCCTATAAGAAATCCCTTCTACTACTGATTAAACCATAAATGATAGCATAGGCATCTGTAGAAACTGCCAAACATTTCTGAAATGTAATTCTTGACACTCCCATTAGCAGAGTATGAGAGTTCTAGTTGCTTCACATCTTCATCAACATAAAAATTAGCATTTAATTTTATAAAAATACTACACCATGCAAGTCAAAGCATGGCAACAGGCCACCAGTCTTCAGCCTCTACTATGAGCCATGTCCTTCTGCAGGACAATCTCATAGTATCAAGATTACAAATGCATATATTTTTAACCAACCAATCCTGTTTCTAGAATTTATCATACATATATACTCATGTACAATACTAAATATACTAATATATAAGATTATTCATTGTTGCATTATTATTAATAACAAAAGCCTGGAAATAAATGCTTTCTGAAGTAGAGGACTGACAAAGTAAATTTAGGATAGACAATAGAACTTTTTTTTTTTTTTTTGGTACTGAGGATTGAACCCAACCCAGGGGGATGCTCTACCACTGACCTACAACCACAGCCATTTTTATTTTTTTATTTTGAGATACAATCTTTTTTTTGTTTTTAAAATTTGTTCTAATTGGTTATACATGCATTTTGACACGTGAGATAGGGTCTTGCTAGCCTCAAACCTGCAATCCTCCTGTCTCAGCCTCCTGAGTCATTGGGGTTATAGGTGTGTACCACTGCATTCAACTTAAATAACAAATTCTGGATACTCTTTTCATGCCTTTCTCTCCCACAGGATTGTGAACACTATTTTATACTTTTCTTGGTGTTCCTGGCATTTGGCACATGATATGCACTCAATAAACATTTGGTGAATCAATCAATGAATTAACCAGGGAAATTAGAATTATTGGGGGTCAGAAATGGGAGAGAGCATTGG